TTTGTTTTGTTACACGAGATCCTGTGATTTTATTGGATCCGGATAGGGTCGGAAGTGATCTTCAGCCCGGGATTTTCTTGACATAAGGGTACCCACCGCTTACACCATATTATCAGGTCGGAAGTGGCCGGTGATCATGTTTTCGTAAAATTTTTATGGCGCCACTAACCGGCTTTACTCATTGGAAATTTACCCAAAAATGAAAATGATTACGTATGAGGGCCCAAAATAAAAATTCCTTACATATAGCGGCCCAAAATAAAAATTATTACAAATAAGGGCCCACCCGATCTCCGAGTTGTCAATTTTTTACCAGATGTCCCAAAAATAATGAAATAAGCTGCACTACGTAGAAAATCTGGCTTATATACGTTCCTTCAGATGCATAAGTATGCACATACATATGAATGCTTTATTAAATTCCTAAATATCTAGTGTCTTATGTATGGAAATTCCAAACTTTCTATCAGCTGACCGGCTAGAAACAAAATAAAAAATTAACACTACGTAGAACCCATTTACTTTATTCTTGCATTTTGATAATATTATATTAACGATGGTGCATTTTATAAATATTATAACTACAAATCTTCCAACTTCAATTGCTTTGTTAATACTTTTATATATCATCAGATATTATTATAAATATTTTACTAGAGTGAATCCACTTCCCGGTCCATTTCCCTGGGTACCTATTCTAGGAAATACTATAGATTTGATTAAATATAAGTTAAACGTAGCAGAGTATTTAAAAGATATCCAATCGAAATATGGTGATTTTTGTGAAGTTCACTTTGGTCTTAAACGACTTATCATAATTTCAAAAAGTGATGTTGCATATCCAATTCAGACCTATTCAGTAGCTCTTAATTATAAATTCTTATATCGTGATTTACCAAATCCTGGAGTACATGAAATTGGCATGGAAGATAACGGAATAATTTTTAATAGAAATTTGGATGAATGGAAAATTAATCGCGAGTTCTTCATAAAAATAGCAATGTCAAAAAAATTTTTAAAATTGCTTACTGAAAAAACTTATAAAAAGACTGTTTATATGTTTGAATTATGGGATATTTTGATAAATGATAAACGAGATGTTGATTTGTCAAAATGGCTAGAAAAGCTTACTGGAGATATAGCGGTCTCAACATCAACTGGACTATCTGCTTACTCAATGTTTTCTTATTTTAATTCTCTGGGATATGATTATAATCGTGATTGTATTCAAACTTCTGAATGGGAACAATCTTCGAAATTGATTTCTCTTATTCATCACTTTTTTAAAGCGTCACAATGTAATAATTTTCATTCAGTATAGCATATATTGCAAATAAGCCATTATAATTAAAATATTTAATACTTATTTTTTTTTTTAAACTCAAGGGTTCATTTTAATCCCACCTTTTATAAGACATGCTCCTGGCATAAGCTACTTTAGCAGCAAGTTTTTAATCGGTGTAAAAAACTTGGAAGTCTTTTTACTTGAAGTAATTCAAAAAAAACGTGTGGAAATCGATTTATTACCTAAAGATACTTCACTATCGTCCGACTTTTTAACATTGCTCCTTACCATCAACACGCCACGGGATCAAGATCATGCTTTATATAAGTCATTAAACCGGTCGTTGAATAATCATGAAATTTTTGGTGTTATTAGAGACATTTTCT